TTTGTGTTACTTCTTTAGACTTCCATTTCAGGCATAATTTAATAATGAACATGAAAAAGGTTGGACTAAGAGATGCATTGTCCAAACGAACTAAACGAGAACAACGAGATTCTCTTGAATTTGCTACTGCTATGTACACATACAATAGAGGTGTTTTTGATACTCAACTAATCCAAATGTTAAATGGATGTAATGCTGATATGGACCCATGTACTGATTGTAAATTAGATGGATATGGTGGACATACTACTGATATTAGAATAGTTTGTAAGGCAGTTGATTCAGTTCCAAATAAAGAAGTATATGATTACAATTTGAGTAAAGAAGATGTTGAGTATTTCATTAGCACTATTCAATCAACTTATCCATTTAATAATGTCGACTGGAAAACACTTAGGAATGATGTTGATACTGCCTATGATTATCTAAAAACTCAAAGAAATAGTAATTCAATCTCTTTCAGATATGATTGGAGAACATTACTTGCAGTAATAAGAATGCATCTTCCACCAATCGAATATTTTGTTGGTGACCAAGTAAAAACATTCCAAGATTATTGGGGAAGTGTATTAAATGATGATTTGGGACCATACCAATCTGTTTCTAATTTCCCATTTAAATTCTGTTCTACATCTGGAGGAAGATCTAACTTATGTTCTTCTAAGTCACAAAAACAAGTCCATTATTCAAAATAATTCATTATTGTTTATGACATCTCTTTAATGTATTTTTTAAAGAAAGTAGTTAAAGAAAATTTTATTTAAAAATCAATCAATTATCAGTAGTTTCCATTTTTAATAATTCTTGTTCAAATATATCGTCTTCATCGGCACGTTTTTCATTTAGTTCTTCTTGTCTTTTTTGTTTAATTTCTTTCTTTATTTCTTTTTGAATATCCTTTGAAGAAAAATCTTCGCTTGAATCATCTTCTTCCATTTTAATAGTAGGACCATCGCCCCTAATATCTCTCTCTTCTTTTGTTATTTCTTCTTCTTTAATTTCTTCTTCACCTTGTTCTTTTTCTTCTTTGGTTTCTTCTGTTAATTTTTTTTTCATTGAAGATTTATCTTTCTTTTCTTTCTTTGTTTTTGGATGTTTCTCTTTGTTTAAAACATCATCAAGTTTCATAACAGTGATTTGTTTTCCATCAACAGTTGTATTGGCCAATTCTAATGCCTTTTCAACTGAAGCAAGTGAGGCAAATTCAACAATAGCAAAACCTCTTCTTTTGTTTGTATTTCTCCAAATTGGAATAGTAACCCGTAATACTTTACCACATTTTGCAAAAATTTTAACTAATGTACTTTCAGTGGTAATGGCAGAAACCTTACCAACAAAAATACAATACGAATTATTCATTTTTTTTTGTGTTACTTTTGGCAAATGTTTATAATTTACTGTGTGTTAAGTTAAAATGTATTTTCTTTTTTAACAACTAAACAAACCTTTCTTTGGTTTTTTCTCTGCCATATTGACACGGATATATTGTTTATCAATAATTGATCCATCTCTAGAACATGCTCGTTCTGCTCCTTTTTTGTCTTCAAATTCAATGAAACAACACCCCTTTGACTGACCGTTTGGATAATATTGCATCATCATACGAGATATTCTCCCACAAGTAATAAACTTTTCTCTAATTTCATTTTCCTTCATAGATTTAGGTAGTTTACCAATAAATACCGATGTTTCTGGGTTATAGGGTTTTTGGCGTTCGTTATTTGTCATTGATTTAACTTTTTTCAGATTTCTTGTTATTTTTGATTAAACACACCTTTTATTTATTAAATTAAAAAAACAAAATCAATGTAATATTCCAGAGAGTGAAGGCTGAAAGGATTGTGTTAAGTCAATAATTTTTTCTTCTGAGTTAAATGTTTCCTTTTGACGATTCCGCCTTCTGTCCATTATTTCAGATTCTAAACGATGTGATCGTGCTAACTGTTCTACACCATTTTGTGAAGTTTGGGCAGAATAATATCGTTTAAAGTCATAGTCATTTAATAAGGCACACTCTTTGATTGGTCTTTCATGTGATGGGATTGGTGAAAATTCCATAGTAAGAGGATAAAAAGGATATTGTTCTACATTGGTTATTGGAGTAAATGAAGTATACGGTACAGGGTCAAATACATTAGACTGATGTTGTTCAAAAATTCTATCTTGTTCTTTGTGAATTATTGGTTCTCTGATCGGGAGAGAAGGTGTCATTCTATTAGTAATAGGTTGATTCCATAAATGAATTGGAGCTTCATGAAAATCGGGATGATGTAGGGAATTATTTAACTGATGAGAGGTTATTTGGTTGTTTCGGTCTATTTGACTTTCACTACCTCTTTTTTCTAGAGGACGTTGTTCAATTCCCTTACTTACAATATCATAGTCCATTCTAATTAAACATACTTTTCGTTCTCTTTTAGGGCCAGTCAGTGGCTGTTCAAATTGATCTTCAATAGTTGTATCATTTTCATATTTATCTTTAATACTTTTTCCATTATTTCGTTTTGTTTCAAACATATTCACAAGACTTTGTGAATTTTGTTTTAATAGTTCATCAATTGCTTTCTTACAGTCTGTGTGTTCCTGACATATTCTCTGAGTTAAAGTAACACAAGACATTGAATCATATTCAAGAGATGGACACATATTCTTAAAAAATGAAGTAATTTTATTGCATTTATTGGTTGGGAGTTCATCAACACATATTTGATTAACAACATTGAACCATTCTGGTCTTTTGTTAATTTCTTCAGTTGATTCAATAACTGCATATTTTGGAACAGAAAGAGGAAGAAAAAGTACTTTTCTCTCAAATGAATTCTTCCCTCCATCATTAAGAGACTGGAGATATTCTTTTACTTTTGAGTGGTCTCCAATCTTTGGATATTTAATCATTATTTTTATACTTTTCATTTTTAAGACATTAAATGGGAATAAAATACAATATTCGAATTCAGCCCATTTCATTTCATCTCTACATTTAAACACATAATCTAAGTAGGATTTAATATTTTCATAATGAGTATCATCTTTGCATTGTTGTATGATATAATCAATGTATTCTAAAATATCGGCAGTTACAGCTGGATCTGACATTCAACGAGAACCTTTATTTATTTTTGTTTCTTTATTTTAGGTAAATATCCATTTTTATACTTATAGTAAAAGAAACTAAGCTTTTAATTATTCTTTTTTCACATCAAAATTATATTTTTGGTTCAAAAAATGTTTTTCTTCAATTTTTTTTTTTTTTGAGTTTTAATAAAAGAAGTGTTGTTTAACGAATAACATTTTTTAACCTTTTTTATTGGAAGGCTTGAAGATTACATTTAACAATCCTTTCCTCATTTTTAGTGTTACCTCTATTTTTGATTTTTGTTTTTATCTTTATAGAATTTCTTCCTTCTTTTTAAAATTATGTAAAATATTATCTTTTTTTTTCATTTTGTTAATTATGAAATCTGGACGTCGTTCTTCTATGGTCAAACACACGAGCATATCTAAAATCACCAAAGAGAATACAAGGTGGTCTGCCAAAGCACCTAGAAGAAGAAGTATAGCTCAAGAAATATATAATGAAGAGATTCCTGAAGATGTATTAAATTTATTTAAAAGTTCAGTAAGTGCTGAAGAATTAATCAATGCTGCTAAAATAACTGGTGTCCGTTTTTTTTATGATGAGAAACTATTTGATGTGATAGAAAAAGAGTACATTAAGAATGCAGTCTGGAAAATGGAAAAAACACATAGAGATTTATTTAAAGTAATAGTAACCGAATTATTTCAAATTCATAGACGTTCACAATTATATAAAGTTTTATTTCCATCATCAATCAAAACTCCATTAAATACAAGAAAATTTCTTCATACATTATTTGAAAATGTTATATTTATTTTTAACAATGAATCAGGTGAAATTAAATTTACTGAAAATGGAAATTTAATTTCAATTTCCCCTTTTTGGCATTGGAATTTTGCATTAGATTTACATGAAGTTAGTATTTCTAGATTTATTATAGAGTGTATTTCTTATATGACACTTGATGATTTTTTAAATAAATTAATTGATGTGTGTAAAGATTTAAATGAAAATATGTATATGTCTGAATCTCAAAGAAAAACAAGAGTACTAAGACTTCAAAGTATTATTGTTTCTTGGGTAAATCTAATGAAAGATGAAATAATTACTAATAATTCTGTTATTGAAAAGTTACTTAATTCATGTTTATTTAAAACTGATGTTATTAGTGAAAATATATTAAAGAACATTAAAAAAGAAATCCAATCAACACATGTCATTGACCCAGTTTGTTTTCAATCACAACCAATTAAAAAATTTAATTGTAGACTTAAAATAGATAAAATTTACTGTGGAAAAGGAATTAAAAAAGTTAGAATTTATAAAATTAAGAGTACTATTGTTGCAAAACAAATTATAATGTTCAACCAAAGACTGTGGAACACAGTCCATTTTTCTGAATTTTTTTATTCTAAAAAAACTCCAACACTTGACAATTATATCAACAAAATTCAATTTATCGAGAAACTTACAAAAGCTTCTTTAGAATATGATCCTTCTTCTAAAATGTTAAATTTTTATATTAAAGTTTCTTACCATTGTATGTTTTTAGGTGATTTTAATTCAAGTTGTCTGATTTATTCTATTCTTTCAATATTCTGTTCAGATGTTAGAAACAAAAAAATATTTAATGTTTGCTACTCTTTTCTATTTAATTGGATTTTTTTAATTCACTCTATTCATTTAATAGGAATTAAAAAGTAAAACTAAAAGAAAATACCGTTCTTTAGAGAATGTTTATTCTATTAGCATGCAACATGCTAACTACCGTAATGCATATGCTGACCATCCTGATCCAAAAATTCCAGTTCTTGCTTTATTACTTGGAGAAAATATCAGAAGTGATATGATGGAAACATATATTCAATCAAATCAATTAAATGTGTTAAAAATTCGAAAAGTGTCTGATGTTGTTGATATGTTATACAATGCTAAAGAAATAAGTTTTGTATTTTCAGAAATTCCAGAAGTTATGCAATATTTCCAGAACCTCATTGCTTTCTTCAAATGATTTCTTTTTAATGTTTAGAAGAGTTACGTTATACAAAAATATCTTTGAAATCTATTCTGAAACATTCAAATTTTATAAAATAACAATAGAAATTCTAAGAACTTGTAATTCATAAGAAATAAAATATGAATACATTAAAGAAAGAGAAAAAAGAGAAAGATAAGAAAAAGGACGATAAAAAGAAAGACAAAAAGAAGAATAAAACATTTCATCTTATTGAAGAACGTGATATGACACTAGGAATTCAAATATTAAAGACACCTCTTTCTGAAAAAGATGTTTTATATACTATTAAAATTGTTTTTGTTGGAGATCCATGTACGTTAGATGATAGAAAAAAATTATTATGGGGATATTATCATAATCATCAAAGTCAAGTACTTAAAGACCTTGGAACAACTATGAAAGATGTTAGAATTGATGGGTTTGATGGAAGAATTAGTATGACATTATATGATAATAATATTAATCGTGCAACATCATACTTTCCATTTAGTGGAGTACATGGAGTATTTTTAGTATATAGAAATGATGATGATATGTCATTTAGACATGTTTATAATTGGTTATCAGAAGCAAGAAGATTTTGTAATAAAGAAAATGTTTTTGCATATGTAATTGGTATATTTCCAAATGAAGAGAGTATTAACCAAATACCAAAGGAAAGAAAAGCAATTCTTCATTTAATGAAAATGAAAACATTTAATTATTGTCCAGGAAAAGAAGAATTATTTGATGAATTTATTAATGAAATGGTTTGTTCAATAAGAAAAATTAACTTTAGAGATGATATTCTTGAAGTTCAATGGGAGAAAAGATTATTTGAATCAGGACAATAT